CATTCTTCTGTCCCTTACTTTGTCCTAGATATAATTTCTGCTCCCTTGCTCAGTGCTTTCTCTATTTCCCCTTTCAAAAAGACAGCTGTTTTACTGTCCTCACTCTCATTTTAACTTCTGTAGCTGCCATTCACTCAAAATTGCAGCTCACTGCTGTTGTATCTCATGTTATTTTGACCACCCTTCTGTCGTCCTTGTCCAGCAGGCAGGAAATTTGACACATTTACTTGCTTATACATCATGTCTACTTAGGCCAGTCTTCTGGGCAACAGCTGACTATAACATGCTTACCCTGGAAGTAATCCCACATTAATAATAACCTTGGCAATAACATGAATTACATAAATGTTATAATATTATATGTGGTTTTCATAAGTGAAAATAATGAAAATATTATAGCACAGAACAAATAATACAAAATGAAATATTTGGAAAAGTGCATTATAAATCATATGCTTCTGTAGATTATATACTTTATTGCCTGGATTCTACAGAGACTGAAAGACTGTGCTACATAAATACCTAAAAATACACAACTTAAATAAAACATCAAAACAGTAGTGGTAGGATGAGCATGTCATGTTATGTACTTGATGAAGTGGGGTTTTTTTTATAAAATGCAAAAAAAAAAAAAAAAAGATTAATTTGAACTCTTTTCCCAAGTGAGCATTGCATTAGAACAATTAGGGATAGTGCAAAATACTATAATTTCTCATCTATAGAGGACCTTTTCCTGTTAGTGGGATACCTAGGATTATCCCAGAGAGTTGTAGGAGCCTCCAAACATTTAAGATCTGTGACAATTTCAGCAGAATTATTTTTCAGGGGTTCACATGAGCCATTTCTTCCATGTTGATTCTCACCCCCTGGGTTTCTCTTTGAGTCAAACCTGTCGAGTTTCACTTGATTTTGCATTTCCTAGGCTGACAACCTGCTGTATCTGCCACAATTAAACCTATGGGAACTTTTACCAGAAAGTTAAAAATCCCCAGATAAATTTTCATTTTTAAAACCCCTTAGGGAATGCATAAATAAATATAGCATGACTGCATCAAACAAGAATGACTTCAAGTATATCTTCTTATTCCAGACTTTTTTCAGTTTTTATCACTTATAAAATACTTATGGATGTAAGCTTCAATGAGAATACATTTATATGTTGTCATAATACTACTATTAACCAATGGTAACATATTCTTCCAGGGATTTAAAAACCAACCCATCCCTGCCCCAAAAGCAAGCAAACAAAAAACCCTTTAGTCCTAGTTTTGAAAGCAAAATTTTGCACTAGCAGCCGTATGACCCAAATCAGTTGTGTGAGCATAATTTAGATATCTAACCCCTCAGCTGCAGGTGTGTTCATGTAGTTAGACATCAAGTGATTTCACATACTTTTTTCATTGGTTTGCCATGTGTCCTTGAATAAACCATTGTGCCTTTGTTTCCATCGGTATAGTGGAATTAGTGATACTTTTTTCCTTTACTTTGAGATGCCTAGAGAAAACATGTTATAATGGAGCTATAATTATTTTAATGTAAAAGGAATTGTGGGTGATGTATATCAATCCTCTAGCCTAATATAACATGATTTACATTTTTTAACATTTTATACATTTATAATTTAAAAAGAAATCCATCTCATAATTCAAAAACAAAGATAACCCAACAAAATAAATTGTGGCACACTGGCAAAGGAAGTGTTTTGGGTTATTTTTTTCCAGCAAAGTATCTAATCAAGCTATGGTATTGTGGATACAATTGTCAAAATTGTTGAGAAACAGACTGAAGCCAGATTCAAAAAAGAACTAGACATTTGCATGTATGAAGTATGGTATCCAAAGTCACTCTAGCAAGGATACATTTGTTAAAAAGAACATCAGGACCCAGGTTTGAAGATTCAACTCTTAACTGACAGGATTAGGACATATTAATATACAATGTCCATTAAAAGTCATTACACATTTTTCTGAAACATCTGATACTGTTTACTATCAGAGGCAGGGTTCTGGACTACATGGTCATTGATCCGTTGTATGTTCTTATTCTTATTAAAAAGTTATAGAAGAAGATGTAATGCTCCCCCACACTCCCAACCCCCCCAAATAATTTGTGTTATGTAAGATAATAGACTTAGTCAAATTCTGCATGGTGAATAATTCTGTAAAAATGTTTCTGTTTGTAAATTATATCTATATAGATGTTGTGTTTTAGTAACGCTAAATTATAACAGTTTTAGTCAATAAATAGTTCCTCTGTGCAGGTTTCATACTATGGATTGCTTGTGATCACCTCTCTGCAAGTATTGTCTGAATTTTATATAAATATGAAAATTACCCATAGCACAATGGAACAGTTTGAGACCAGCTCAGAGCCTATATTGTGGAGAAGCATAGCCAGAGCAATTTTTCTATTTGTTTTCCCCACTAAAAGGGTCTCTGAACTAGGGTGAAATACTGGAAGGCTGGTGCCAAAGCTGTAATGAGGATAGACTTGGGAAGGGACTACAGTATCCATATTTATCCTTATGTACACAGCATAGAAACCTACAGTGTTATTCCAGTCTTCAGATTTTAGGTGCACATCTAGGGAAGCAATGTAACAACCCGATTGACTCAGCCAAATACCTTGACTTTAGCAAGGCTTGTGATACTGTCTTCCACAACATTCTTGCAAGCTGTAACAGGGCAAGGATAGCCCTGTTCCTTTGGTGTTACAAAATTGTGAGTGCAGGGGAGAGTTGGGTCTGGGACAGGGCAAGGGTAAATACTTAGTAGACACAGTTAGGAAGAGGGATTGCACCTGGGTGAATGTTGCTTGATTAGGAGCCAGCAGCTATTAAAGTCCACAGCAGGGGGTATTTCTTTGCCCCCTGGGGCATGGCATGAGGAGATTCAGTGGGAAAAACCAGGAGTGGCAAGACCAGTGCTGGAACAGATTGGTAATAAAACTGGCTGACCAGGTGAAGGTAACCACAGTGACTGGCAAGGCAAAGACAGATAGGAGAGACTTACTGGACCAATCTTCCAGCTGAGAGAAGGTCCCACAGAGAGAGAATCTGCTGGTACCTGTGAGAGAGAGGAAAGAGAGTGAGCCTGGAGTTGAACTGTCTCACTCAGGGGAGTGGGTCACATGGTGGTGGAGGGCAAAAGGAAGACTGTGAGCTGTGAGAACACCCAGGGTCCTCCACAACCTATGTGGAATTAGCTAATAAACCAATTTTATTTTATCCCGCTTCTGGGGTGATTTACTACACCCTCTCTCACTGGGGAATTAACTTCTTATTTTTCCATCATTCCATGGCATGGCAGACGAGCCCCAGGGAGAGAGATATTGTTATTCAGCCCCACACAGCCACACAAGCAAACTATTAAAGTGTATGTTGGATAAATGGACTGTAAGGTGGATAGAAAACTATCATCAAGATCAGACGGTCATAATCAATGGGTTTTGATCTAGTTGGTAGCCAGAACCAAGGTGAGTATCCCAGAGATCAGTCCTGGGACCAGTTTTGTTCAATATCTTTATCAATGACCTGACCTGGAAGATTGGATGGAGTGCACCCTCATCACATTTGCAGATGACACCAAGCTTGTGGGAACAGTAGATATGTTGGAGGGCTAAGAGTCAGAGAGACCTCGACAAATTGGAGGATTAGACCAAACAAAAAAAAATCTCATGAGGCTCAATAAGGACAAGTGCAAAGTCCTGAACTTAAGAAGGAACGATCCCATGCATGGGTACAGGCTGAGGATTGACTGGCTAAGTAGCAGTTCTTCAGAAAAGGACCTAGGGGTTACAGAAGACAATAAGCTAAACATGAGCCAACAGGGTGCCCTTGTTGCCAAAAAGTCTAATGGCGTACTCAGTTGCATTAATAGGAGTATTGCCAGCAAAGTGAGGGAAGTTATTCTTCCCCTTTATTAGGCTCTGATGACACCACATCTGGAGTGGGGCACAGGGCTGGGACCTGTCTCTGACCAGGACAGTTCCCAGCCCCTATCCTGCACACCAACCAGAGGCTGTGCAGCTTGTTCCCTGTTCAGCTCTACAACCCCAAAACTGGGGGGTGAGAAAAGACTAGGGGGCTTGTTCCCCATCCATCTCCATGAGTGTGCAGCTGGATAAGGGAAGCGAACAAGCTCCCCAGTCTGTTCCCCACCAGCTCTGCACTCATGGAGCTGGGCAGGGAAAAGGCTCCCCTGCCCCCACTAGCAGGGAGCTCCCAGTACCAGATCTGTGACCATGGGGCTGGTGGGGGGAGATCTTTATCTCCCAGCACTGGCTCCATGGTTCTGAAGCCAGCACTGGGAGATAAGGGAATCCCAGAACTGGCCCTATGGTTGTGGAGTTGGCGCTGGGAAATAAGAGTCTCCCAGTCCCCCACTTCCTGAACGCAATGGTGGAGCAGGGGCTAGGAGATAAGGATCTCTCAGCCCCCACTCACCAATCATAATCTCAGACCAGGGGGCTTAAAGCTCTTTGCTGCTGGAGCAGGAGGGCATAGTCCCTTCCTGGACTTCTGTGGCAGTACCTGCTCCAAAAGCAGGCAGCTCCCAGGGGTAGGAAATGATCTCCCACCCACTGGTGGATGGCTGACCAGGAGCAGATTTTGTACCCAGTCAGGGGTATTACTACGTCATTACTAATCTCAAATAAATTTGCTACTTTCACTTGCAGGCAGCAAATTTACCAGAGATTAGGGCTTAGTAAGCATATGCACATGTTAATGCACATACTTACTTTGCAGTAAACTATGCTAATGCACAGTTAAGCATCTTATGTAGGTGCTCCAAACATGTTCAAATCCCCCTCTTCCTCCTCAATGCATTTTTGTGTCGTAGTCTTTGGCTAAAATGATGGTAGTCAAAGATGATGGTAGCTGAATGCTCCTACTAATCTTTGACTAAAACGATAGTATCTGAACCTCATGAGAATAAACAAATATGTGGGTTAATGTTTTTCAGGGACTTGAGAAGGCTGAATTGAATCCTACCTGAGATCACCTAGGCACCTCGTAGGTGGAACAGATTCCGATCCCAATTGCTTCAGTTACATGTGAGTGGAATTTTTATAAATGAATCATTGCCATAATCTTAATAATGATGCTCAAATCCAATGCTATAACTTGATACCTTATTTTCTGATACACATCACTCACCTTGTCTTAAAAAATCAGCCTCCCTAAGTAGGGTATGTATATTAATCAGGGAAGATGATTTTTTGACAGGGATAGAATCAACCTGCTTTGATTCCTGCATCACAGTGCAGCAGTTGTTGCTTTAGTATTCAGGTAGCTGCAGGAGACAATTGACTTAATGGCTCATTGTTCTTTCTCCAGAGGTATTAACAATTGTCTTTCCTTTTAATTGTCTTGAGGCTGAACTAATCAAACTATCTTTTTTTTAGGGCATTTTTTGTTCTCTGCTGGCTGCTCTCAGTTCTCTCTCCTATTTCATAGCTTTGGAAAGTCATAGCTGCTCTCATTTCTCTCTCCTATTTCATAGCTTTGGAAAGTCTAGCTCCTTTCAAAATCATAGATCCACCTATGGAGGCCAGGCTTCAGCAATGGCTAGGGTTTCAGGTTTAGTTAGGCAGGAAAGAGAAGGCAAATCACCTAAAGATTAGAGACTGTTGCTCCTCTATGCAGACAGCTCTGGAAAAATCTTTTTTCTTCCTTCATTCTGCCTTCATTTAAAAACAAGGTACATAGTATGTTCCAGGGCATGTTGTATTTAAGAGCATATGGTATTCTGTTAAATCTTGCCTGTGTATGGTCCTATGAGGGCTGCCCCATTATGGGAAGGGAATGCATGCGCTGTTTGATTCTTCTTCTATTAAATAACAAAACTCTCACTGAGGTCAGTTGTGTACTATCAGGCTCTAATCCATGGGTGGGCAATTATTCAGGCTTAATGACTTTTGGTGAGCTATTGTGGGCTACACACACAAAAGTAATGGTGTTTAACACCAAGTATACTTAAAATGTGTTATGACATTTATAGTATAAACTTTATAATATAAATACCATATCAAGTTTTCTGCACAACATCACCATATTTCCACACTCAATTCCAGAAAAAAAATTCTCAAAGTATCACACAATTTTCCAAATATCATATTTTCATAAACACTTCCAAAAAAATAGTTCCCAAACCACTACAGACAATTATGTTGCTACAGTTTCTACATAACTCCCGCCTTTGTGCAAGGCAGCATCCAGCACATGGCCTCCATAGACCCCACTACAGTCATGCTGTCACTGATTTGGTGCAGGCTGCACTGTGCACTTCACTGCAGAGCAAGGCTGGATGATGCCAGTCTGTGCCGGGTGTACCATGTCCACTGCAGGCTCCCCAAGAGCAGTGAATTTTCAAGGGCACAAGGCAAGCAGCACAACCAGAGGCAGGTGATGCACAACAGTATCCTGCTGGCACCAGCTCCATGGAGGAGTGGCTCATGCCCACCTGCTGCTTGGCCACAACCCCTGGTGTTACGAGGAGCTCAGGGAGGGGTTGTTGCTCATTTCCCTGTGGGACATTTCCAAGTTGCTTTGCTGGCTTTGTTTGCACACAAAAGGCCCCTGGGTACATGCCCTGCTCTCCCTGACACTGCACACAGTTGTTGCAGACTGCACCCAGAGCACTGCTGCCCTTTTGTGGGCAAGGACAAAGAACTGGGCCCTGCTGCCCTCAGGTCCTCAAGTCCACAAGGATGCAAGTGTTCTCCATCCTTCATGTTGATCCGTACTTAATCAAATAATAAAACTTAGTAACATTGTAGAGCACACGGTGCTGCCACATTCCCTGGCCTAGCTAATCAAAAGGTGATGATATAATGATAAAAGCTCGAGTCCTGCCCATGCGCAGCAGGTCAAGGTTCTGCAGTGAATTCTTCACCTCTGAAGAGGGGTTGCCCTAAATACTTACATTAGCATGTGCAGTAGAAACCCAGCAACAGAGATTTTGGTGCCAAAATCAGTGACCACTATTCCCTGAGGCAGAGTGGATGATGATTGGGCTGAAGTGTAACGAGTGATAAGTTTGTTTTGCCAATTGGATGAGCACTTGAGTGACAAGTGCCTTAGACATGTGATTGGATTGTTAATATGGGGCAATTTTTAGGGTTAAGAATGGGCTTGAACTCTGCTCTGTGTGTGTGGAATGGTGCATGCCTCATGAGAGTTTGGTGTGTCTCTAAGGAGAGAGACTTGTGAGCTTAAGGCCTGCATCTGGAGAGACTGCTCAGGTTGGACCCAGGACCTCTGAGCTCTTGTTCAGTTCTTCCACCAGCTCAGGTTCATGATTTCCCACTTCCCCAAGTTACAATCAAATATATACAATTACAGTATTAATGGCATGCATCTGTCTACAACCTGATTGAGTATATGTTAATGAGAGGGGTTGATCATGAAGAGCCCCTCCTCAGCTAAGTGAGGAATTTATGATAAATTCTTAACAACTATTTGACTAGGATGGCCTCAGATGGTGCTCAGGTCTGATGAGTCTGAGACTGGATAAGATTAAGGGTGTTTGATGAGTGTCTCGTGTCTGTGGAGTAATTGCAGGTGAGTGTGTATCCCAGGTAGAGCAAGACTCCCTGGTGATCCCTCTGGAAGCACAACCATAGACCAGGACTGGTGCCAGTGGGCCAACACTCTCACCCTGCTTAGAGTCGCCTGCAACCATAAAAATCCTTTCCCTGGCCTGGGTTCTGAGAGAAGCAATGCTCTCGTTTGCATAATTAAGCTTCCAGCATTTAAGAACATGCTCACAAATGTGATACAGGTCTTCCCAAAACTTATCTGCAAGCTGGATAGCATCAGTTGGCAGGCCAGATACAGCCTGTGGGCTGTATTTTGCCCACCACTGCTCTAATCCTTTTCCTCAAGGAAGGAGAAATCTCCAAGTATCTGGCCATCCCCTTGGAGACATAATACAGAATAAATGAGAGTCCATGAAGAGATTATTCTTTCCGAAGAGGAGAGCTGGATAAGAAAGATATCTAGGACCTACACAGGGAGAAGATATGATAGGAGAGGGTCTTTTACTGTAGTAGACAATGAAATAATAAGATCCTGTGGCTTTAAAGTGTGTAAAATAACCCATGGCAAAGACTAGTAAGGGATATGGTTGATTTTTCATCACTTGGACCCTTTACAGTAAAACTGTATTTTTTTTTTAATTAGATGTTATTGAGATAAATGGAGAAATCACTTGCTGAAATCCGATAGCTGGTATTGTGCAGGAGGTCAGACTATGTGATCATAATGGTTCATTCTGCCTATAAAGCTTATGTATCTATATACTGGGGAGAAAATTAGACAATAGCCACCTATGTGTCTGACAATGTGTTATAGTCTGGAGGTTGGATACCCTTGGGTGTATAGCACAAACTTTAAAAAGGTAATCAAAAGGAAGAAACAGGAAAGCAGGAGAAAAGGAGGAAATGTAAAGGGAGAAAAATGAATACAAAGAAAAAAATGAACATTTTTATAGTATCTTTAAATTCATTGGAGAAGTTAAGGTGTGAAGTTTTGAGCTAAACTGTTACTTCTTCATTATCCATAACACAGAATCCAATGCGTATACAGTGGTATAACAAAGTTAAACTTAAGAATTTAAATATAACAACTTAAAAGCTTAAAGGGCCAGGTCCTATTCTACTATTAGGAACCAAAGTCAATCAGTCAGTATATGTGTAATGGCTGAGCCATGCGATAGTGTCCTAAGTGGCCATGTGTAGTTTTTGTAGTCTGCCACTGAACTTAGTTAGCAGGCAGACACTGACAGGGTATGTGTTTTGCCACAGCTACAGTCTGGATTGTCATGAAGACTTCAGTGATGGAGGTTGGATGCACACAGACCTTGCCCTGTCCAGAACCTATTCAACAAGGCCCTCTAATGGCATGACAGGTTAAAGCCAGATGGGCAGACTGTAGGATCTGCAATAAATAGCTTGTTTGGTGGTAATATCGACTTCCATTCCTCATACCAGAGCGTCTCTTGTGTGCAGTCTTAGTGCAGCAGTTTGGATCACAGTGGGTGTCGTGATAGTAAATGTGCAGCAGGTGGGTTTAAGAGATTGTCATACAGCAGCAGGCTTGGATTGTCATAGATCATCTCCAGTAGCTTGCTAGTTGCAACTTCTCCTTTGGATATGAGGGGAAACAACATTGTTCAGGCCCGGGAGCCATAGTAGAGGGGTCAGTTGAAGAGCTCCTGAGATAATGCACATCATCGAATATAGCTGCACATCAATGAGCTTGGTGTGTGATGACCAGTTCCAGCCTGCTGTGCAGTACTCTGCTACAAAATATGAGATAGCAAGATCTTTTATCCTTATGGTTGAGGCTCTTGAGCCCCACGATGACCCAGACAGCTTGTTAAGGAGGTTCATGCATGTCTCAACTTTCATTGCTGTCTTTCTCAAGTGTTCATGGTACCTCAGTGTTCCATCTAGTGTCACACCCAGGTAGATGGGTTCTGCTTCATGCCTCAGCCTCTGACCATTCAGGTATGTTCAGCTCCCAGGCAGCATTGGCATTGTGTTGTTACAAAATTCTGGAAATGATCTTACTGATGCTTCACTGGAGACACCAATCTTGCAGTACTCAGCCAGCTTTGCGACGTCACTGTTCAGAGTATGTTCAAGCTCAGAGAAAATATGGGCCTGGAATCCACAGCAGATGTCACCAGCATAGATGAATTTCTGTGACTGGGTTTGTGGCAGGTCATTGTTTTAAAGGTTGTACAAGGTCCTAGCAAGAACAGATCCCTGAGGCAGTCCATTGGTCTGTCTTCTCCGTGTACTGGTGTTCTCACCCATGCATACCCTAAACTGTCTATTGTGAAGGAGCAGTTTGACAATGTCAGACATCCATGCAGGTAGGGCTCTTGCTATTTTTATGAGCAGACTGGTGTGCCAACTAGTATCATACACTGCTGCAGTTAGCAATGGATCAGCGTTTATGTCATGCCAATCATCAGACCCTGGTCCATACCAGGAAAACTAGTGATCCTTTTAGTGAACCAAATTCTGAGAACTTTTTGAGGAAT